GGATTTTTCAATACTCCTATCTTTCGAGTATTTCTGAGAGAAACCTAGAAAACTCTTTTAATGTTATAGCCTTAGAATAGTTTCTTCTTGACTTCTCTTTTCGAGCCATTCTGGAGTTTTGAGAGTCTGTCTGGGTCTTGTGGACTTAGAACATTTTCTTTGCTCATTTCTGTTTTTCGAGCCATTTTGGAGGAAATCTGGAACTCAGCCAAGTTTGTGGACTTAGAATATTTTCTTACCACTTCCTGCTTTTCGAGCAGTTTTGGGTGTCAGGTACTTGGAAACTCATCAAATATTCCTCGAAAAGCCATCAGTTTTTGTGGACTTAGAATATTTTCCTATTAGTCCTGTTTTTCGAGCAGCTTTGAGTGTTAGGGACTTAAAAACTCCTAAAAACTCCTCGAAAAACCATCAGTTTTGTGGACTTGGAATATTTTCTTGTCAGTTCTATTTTTCGAGTAGTTTTTTGGTGTCAGTGACTTAAAAACTCCTCAAAACTTCTCGAAAAAACCTTTAGTTTTGTGGTCTTAAAATATTTTCTTGTCTTTCAAGCAGTTTAGAGGAAAATCAACAATGTGACAAAAATCTCTTAAAATAGCTCGAAATGTGTTCCTTTTAATTAAAACCAAAGATCTTCCAATATCCTCTTATGTTCAGGTTTATCTTTGACTCCTTCTTAACCCTTAAAACTGGTTGAAATGTAGTTTCCTTCAAGATGATTTTTAACTTGGAAAATTTTCCTCATCCCAAACAGGAGTACCTTATATGTGTATACTATTGAATATGTTTCTTTACTATTCTTCGTTCGACGTTCCCTTTCATATGAAATCCACAAAACCAAGTCGCACATAATTTCTGCTCACACTCGAAAGAACGCACACGCACACGCACACATGCATAACAAATAAACCAATTAATTAATTACTACTTACATAATTACATTGATCATTTAAATTCTTCCATACATTGCAATATTCAAGCAAAATTTCAGTTTTTAAAATGCGAAATATAATAAAGTATGTAGATTGATAACTATTGATTAAAATATCAATAACTGAAAAATTGATTATCACTCTGCACTTAACTCCCACAATTTAGAAATCGTAAAAGCCAAATTTTTATACTAAAATAATGTGTTACATGGAGGGAATTTTACTTTTTTTGTCTCCTTCGTTATTGTTCCTCAGCACTTGTGCTTTAGAAACAAACCTAACCTAGCTAAGGGTTAGGGTTCAAAGATCATACAGAGGAGAGGGGTTCACACCAAACATAACACATCAACCTTTTCGAGTGTTTCATTTCGAGGCGACACGAGCACTTTCCCGGCATTTCCTCCCATCTCTCTTGGAAATTCTCAAAATTTTCTCTGGATCCTCGTGACCTCCCTTGTCCTTAAATGCCCTCCAACCCTTCTTGCAGTTACCCTCATGTCCTCTTTCAAGTGATCAACTTGTTATAACTTTTCACCCCTTACATATTGAAGCGTAAGAAAAAAGTTAGAAATCAAATATTAATCCTTGAAGTAGGAATTCAAACCAATTTGTTAATCACGTAAAAAATCAGTATTAATTTTTAATATCGATTTTTATTAGGCTAGTAACTAAAATATTATTTTTGAAAACTATATATCTATAATCTTGAAGGGAAATGATGGATATATGATATAAGTATATATAGGGGTAATTACTAATAACTAATAACAAATGTTAGTGCTTTAAAAACATTAATTAAAAATGTTAAAAAATAGTATTAAAATACTTTCTTTTATATATTTTTAATATAGTTCATCGTGATTTTAATAATTTTTTTAAATTTTAAGATTTTAACCAATTTCCTTAATGACACTTATAATCAAAATCCATTAACAATAATGGAGGATAATTTTGGGCAGCGTGGTGAGAGCGTGGTCAAAGTTCTTTAGCTATTCGTGTTTTTTAGTGCAGGCATGCAAACCGGATAATTGGCCCGTTTGGTTGCAAAGTTTGAAAGTGAAAGGCCGAAGACAAAGACCAAAGGGAACCCGAAGCAGGAAGAGACAACGGACACGTGTCAGTCACATTCTTCTGACTCTGAATTTGGCCAAAGAACCTGAAACGGCGTGACAACCTGATTAATTTGGGTTGACTGTGTATGGCCGGTGACGAATCAGCGACACGCCACCATGCATTCACCTCTTCCTTCTTCCTTCCATTCGCTAAACACTATTTATTCTCTTCGTCTCCCACATTTTCCAAGAAAATCAAAACGCTACACACTGAGAAAAACACATTCCTCATGCATGCACTTCGTTTCTTTTTCTTTTTTAGTTCTATTTTTATTTTGATTTTATTCCTCCCGTTTCTGTTTTGAATACTTCATATACACCTTTGTTTTCCACCTTCTTGAAGTAAAACTCTTAAATAAATACTTAATTTAAGTATATGGACAAGAGGGTTTTGACGTTTGGAATGATGAGTGTTTTCACCGTTTGTAAGAACTAGTTCTAGTTGTTGAGGTATAAAAATTGTAACAGCGAGAGACGTGGGGTTTTGCTCCCTTATAGTGTGCATTTCGGTCAAAATCACCTTTTGTTTATGTACAAGAATTTGGCGGGAACAGTGCATCATCAACATTGGCAGGTATTTGCATTTGTTTATTTTTTACCGCCAGTGCTACTCGCTTGTTATATTGTTGGTAAAATCGCTGTTAGAATAATTAATTTGTTGCAGTAGTTGTATTTTTTTAGTTTAGATTCTTCTAATTCATGTCATGGCTAATAAGTTATATTGGTTGGCTTGGTCCAAGGTTTCTCTAATTTCTAACCACTTTATTTGTAAAGTTCTGCAATGCTCTATCTGGGAGAGGATTTTTATGAATAGAAACATGCATGGGTTCCCTCGCTCTTGCACTGACTAATTGATCAGTGTTTATACTCTGAAAATTGCGTATTCAAATGAAATCGTTCTTTTCTATAGATATAGCGGCGCTTTTAATTCTCACTCCATTTTCCTAACAAAAATTTTAAAATTATAGGATATATGCACGAAACAATTGTGATATAGTTATGCAATTCTTGCATGAAATGCCCACAGCCAATCAAAACTAAAATAATGAAATTTATGTTAAAATATGTGTTGAAATTATTTTATTAGTCTTCACCTTTCGATTGCTTGTACACATACCTCATACAAAAAATGATCATAGTCATCTTGATCATAAAACGGGAAATTCATAAATATGTTAGTAGTTCACCAATTTCTGAATGGATGATATTTATGGTACATTGTGATTTAATCCCCCTCAATATATGTTTTGGTTGCAATATTCATATATGTAAGGTAGAAATTATTGTATGTTTACAAATATACTGAACATATTAACGTTGCACTTAAGTTACCAAAAAAGTTATAAAAGATGTGCGTGGGCTTCTGCTGTGCTGTAATTGCGGTATGTTACGAGATCCAAGCTTTGCCTAGCTAGTAACTTAATTTATTCCCTATCTCTAGTAGTTGAATATTCCATAAATTATTGAGCAATAACTTAGACATTCCATAAAATATGAAATTTGTGCCATGTTCTGTAATCATTCATTCGGATAGGTGAAGATGCATTAGGACTACATAGAGTGCTAAGTGCGGGCAAATTAAGCCACTTTGCATAGATGATGGTTAACTGAATCTTTTTAATTTGTTTATATGACCTTTCAGGATGAACCTTAACCAAAGCAGAATACAAGCTTCTAGTGTTGTAGGACAAGACCCTGATACATGATATCATTTGTTTATTTAAATTTAATTTTTAACCAATTTCAAGCTAGTGGCCTTTTGACGGGTGAGGAAACCGAGTAGGTGGTCAACAGATTTCTACTTGGGGGAACAAACGAAACCCTTCAAATTATATTTCTTAATTGCTGCTCAATTGAATCACGTTAATTAAATAATATAACTATGCAATACAGCTTGGTCTCATTTTGAACAAAAAGTAATTCTTACTCTTTCTTTCAGTACTTTTAATTTTTAATATGTCGGATTTTTCTCTTATAATATTGCATGACCGTACTCATGCATCTTTAACACATGCACGACTCGGGGATCCATAGATTGGTTTTTCTTTGTTAAATTATATATATACCAAATTCGAGAATTTCTCCACATTGGGCTTGATCTTCTACCTGATGTTTAATCTCACTTCAGATCTTTATTTTAGTTTGGTTCATTTTATGCATATTGTATGCATAGTTAGAGAGAGAGAGGTCGGTAATCTAACTTTACGTAGAGTCGTCGATTTTGAGACCGAGAGATGATTTGTATTGTGTGGGAATGCTGGGCTTTTGGGAGTCATTGTTTTCACAGAACGAGGACGAGAGTTCCAATAAACCAAGTGGGTAGAGAGAGAGAGAGAGAGGGGAAGGAAGAGGGGGGGCGTATAGGATTGTATTTTTCCAGTTAGAATGGTGGTATTGTCTCTGGTCAAAGACTGAAGGATTTGAAGGATAATAATTTAATAAGACACTCGTGTCCCTAATAATATCTTATTACATAATTATTAATTATTTAATAATCATTGTAGGCAGATTTTAACTTTGTTTTCTAGTGTTGGAAACCGGTAGAAAGAGTCAGAGTCTACGAAAAACGACCTTCGCTAAGGGGGTGAGACAGTCCCACATCATTTTAATTATTTGGTTTTAACTATATTAAGGGTATGAAGTAGGACAGAGAACGGGGAAGAGGTGAGAGAGATGGAGCTTTAAATATTGTTAAAATGTTCTCTTGCTAGCCTCTTCTTTTCTCCCCTTGGTCTTAAGCTTGAAAGTTAAAAGGGTGGGAGAGATACAAAGTGTTTGCTGATTTAAACCCTTGCTAGAACCCTTGGTAAACCTATATGTGTTTCTTTGGCTATCTTTTTTTTCCTTACAATTTATCTTACTCCGTGGTCTATATCTATATTTCTCCTCATTTTATGTGTTAGATGCAGGTGTTTTTTTTATTTGTTGAAAGGTAAAGCAAGCAAATAAGGGCTCAATGAACAACAACTGGCTTTCTTTCCCTCTTTCTCCTACTCATTCTTCCTTACCAGCTAATGATCTTCAAGCAACCCAATATCATCAATTTTCTCTTGGGTTAGTGAACGAGAACATGGAAAACCCTTTCCAAAATCATGGTAATATTATTCTATCTCCCTTCTTTCCATTATGTATTTTTACTTTGGCATGCCTATCTATTTATTTCTTGCCTATGTTTGGCGGTATATTTAATTAAACAGATTGGAGTCTGATCAACACTCACAGCAGCAACGAAGTTCCAAAGGTTGCAGATTTTCTTGGAGTGTGCAAGTCTGAAAATCAGTCAGACCTTGCTGCCTTGAACGAAATTCAGTCAAATGATTCAGATTATCTATTCACAAATAACAGTCTCGTGCCAATGCAAAACCCAGTGGTGGACACACCTAGCAATGAGTATCAAGAAAATGCAAATAGTAATTTGCAATCGCTGACATTATCCATGGGAAGTGGTAAGGATTCGACATGCGAAACCAGTGGTGAAAATAGTACAAACACTGTTGAAGCTGTGCCTAGAAGAACTTTGGATACATTCGGGCAGAGAACATCAATATATCGTGGTGTAACACGGTTGGATAGTCGTTCTATGCTTCATTGAATCAATTTATTTTTTGCATGGTTCGCTGTTTTATGTTTTCTCTAATTGTGCAAAATATATGAAAAAATATATGTATGTATAGACATAGGTGGACTGGAAGGTATGAAGCTCACCTTTGGGATAATAGCTGTAGAAGGGAAGGACAATCGAGAAAAGGACGCCAAGGTAATTAAAGTTCACATTAATTACTTTTAGGGTTTCATGCTTCTTTTCTTATATGTTAGAATTAATTAAATAATTTTGAATTTTTTAAGTAGTATTATTAAATTTGGAGTTTTATTAACACATTTGTTCTAATGTTTTGCATTTCTGTACTTATATCTTCTCAACTTTCCTTCAGTTTATTTGGGTAAGTGTCTATTTCAGTTTATTTTCCAATCCCTCTTGGTTTATTTAAGTTCCAGGAGATGGAAAATCATTTTATAAAATGCATTGTTTTCCATTTATTCTTTAATGGCAGGTGGATATGATAAAGAAGAGAAAGCAGCTAGGGCTTATGATTTAGCTGCACTGAAGTACTGGGGGACGTCCACCACTACTAACTTTCCAGTAATTAATAACTCTACTTTCTTCTCAGACATTGATTCAAAGAAAAGTCTTGTTGATTTCATGTTGTTTTACAGATAAGCAACTATGAGAAGGAATTGGATGAAATGAAACACATGACGAGACAAGAATTTGTGGCCGCCATTAGAAGGTTACTATTATGAGTTAACATGTATAAAGCATATATGTGTCAATAATACACACTGCAATAATGATGACATGAAAAATCAGCTTTTAAATTAATTAGTCAATTTTTTTAGGGTATCCAAATATTAAAATGGCACTATGATAATCTAGTTAGCTAATAATTTATCCAATAAAGTCGTCTTAAATAAGAACTTAATTAAAAATCTTACTGGATTAAATTGTTCATGTACTTACTGAAATAAATTCAAGAGGACTTAAGAAACACTTTTATAAGATTAAATATGTTTGGTAGAAACTCTTTCAAAAGCTTCTTGAACTTATATTTGCGGTAATGATTTGCAGGAAAAGCAGCGGTTTCTCGAGGGGTGCATCAATGTATCGCGGAGTTACAAGGTTTCAAATGGAACAACAATGCTTTCTTCTTCCTCTCATCTCATAAACCCTTTCTTTTCATTCATCATTTTCTTAACAGAATACCATTATTGTTTGATCAGGCATCACCAACATGGGAGATGGCAAGCTAGGATTGGCAGAGTCGCTGGAAACAAAGATCTTTACTTAGGAACTTTCAGTAAGCCACACAATATTAATTTAACCCCATGCAAAGAAAACCACATACTATATTATATTGCAATTCAAATTAACCCACAACTCAACCATGAACCAACATAATTATATTGACTATTAAATAAAACTTAATTAATAATACTACTTAATTAATTATATATCATTACAGGTACTGAGGAAGAGGCTGCAGAAGCTTACGACATAGCAGCAATTAAGTTCAGGGGTCTTAACGCTGTGACCAACTTTGACATGAGTCGTTACGATGTGAAAGCCATTCTTGAAAGCAACACTCTCCCAATAGGAGGAGGTGCTGCTAAACGATTAAAGGAAGCTCAAGCTCTAGAATCTTCGAGGAAACGTGAAGAGATGATTGCATTGGGTTCATCAACTTATCAATATGGAAACTCTAGCTCTAGTAGGCTACATGCTTATCCTCTAATGCAGCATCATCAATTTGAACAACCTCAACCTTTGCTAACCTTACAAAACCATGATATTGGTTCTCATCACTTCTCTCATCAAGACCCTTCACCATTGCACCAAAGTTATATCCAAACACAGCTTCAGTTGCACCAGCAGAGTGGTGCTTCTTACATTCAGAATAGTGCTCAGTTCTACAACGGTTACCTTCAGAGCCACCCATCATTGCTTCAGGGAATGATGAACATGGGTTCTTCTTCTTCTTCTTCATCTCTGATGGAAAATAATAATAATAGTAGTAATAATAATGTTGGTGGGTTTATAGGGAATGGGTTTGGTATGGCTTCAAATGCATCGTCGGGGAATGCAGTCGGTTCAGCGGAGGAACTTGGGTTGGTTAAGGTTGATTATGACATGCCCGCCGGAGGTTACGGTGGTTGGGCGGCGGCGGAGTCCATGCAGACGTCGAATGCTGGTGTGTTTACAATGTGGAATGACTGAGAAAAGAGACGCTAGCGCCTGTGTATGGGACAACGAGTACCATACAATTTGTTCTGCTTTCTTTTTTGGGGGGTTTATTTATTATTCTCGCAATTGAAAAAGAAAAATAGGTGCTGATTTTCTATGCAACATTGACCACTGAGCAAGTGAGCAAGACCATATATATCTATTATTTATGTCTCTTTACTTATGCCGAATGTCCGTGAGACTTTTGCTTTTTGTTTAGGTAAATTACTGAAGCACTGACTTATATGTACTAATCTGATATTTGCTTAATTGAATTGATGTCTGCTATGATTAAATTAAAAGAGAAGTTTAAAATTTGCAGTAATAAACGGAATATATTTACACACAGAGTTCAATTTTTTATTTAAAGAGTTTTAAGATATATTTTAAAGCAATATTTAATTAACTTGATATGTGTGATGGAGAAAAGGTAACTGAAGTTGAAATTATTGGATTTTTAGCTTTTGTTTTGTAATTTCAGAAGCAATAATATTTTACGTTTATGAAGACTCGTTTGATTTAGTAGTTTTGTACGTTCAAATGTATTATTATTTTATATTTAAAAGTAATATACCTTAGAGTGATTTAGATTTCATGAATGAATATTAGTTTTATATGAAGTTGACAAATTTGATAACTAAATAATATACCCAACTTTTTAAGAACCAAGTCATGTATGTTAACACTTTAAGGATGAAAGTGTATTTTTATTCTCTCTCTCTTTTTTATAATATGTCATGATAACTTTAATCACAATTCTTGGGAATGTGGTGTAGATTTAAATGAGTATTAACAAATTGGGTAAGATTAGTTTTGAGGGGGAAAAGGGTCATTTAATCAATTTTTTATTTTACCATCTAATCAGTTTAAGTCTAACATTAAATATGGTTCAACCTAAATATTTTTTTTTATTTCATTTTATGAAGGATGGTAAATAAATTATGTTCTATCTATTTTATAATTTTTTTTATCAAAATTGATATTTTAATATAAAAATTAAAATTAAAAATTAAAATATGAAATACAAAAACAATATTAAATTATTTCAAATCTAATAAAATTGTAAATAAATCAAAATAATAAGATGTATAATGAAAACAATATCATAGAGAAAACAATCTAGTATGTATTCTGTTCACTTTATTTTAAAGAAATAATTGCTTACTTTATTACTTTTATAAGAAAAAAAATTTAAAAGATAAGCTAGATTTTCCTAAATTTAAACTAAACCAAATTTGCTACTAGCAATATGATTTCATAAATTAAGTATGAGATTTGCTAATTTCATAAAAAAATTATGAGTGGTTACGTTTGATTTAGATTACATTGAATTATTTTTGGAAATGAAATCTAAAATATAATCCATTTTAATAACAAAAAATATTTATCTATATTTTAGTTTTTCTTCTGTTTTGTTGGTTTATTATATTTTGAATTAGATTAAATATTGGCTTTGTGAATTGTTGATGTTCCATCGAATCATTGAAACCTAAGTTTGAACATGGCATCAAATAAATGAATTAGATAGAAAAATTATAGTTTTATTTTGATATATTATTATAATAATTTTTTATATCATCAATTAATTAAAAGTGTCATAAATATAAATTTTAAAATAATTATTTTAAAAATTACTTTCAAAATAGAAGATTAAAACAATGATATTTGTTGAGTAACTTCAACGGCAAGAGAGCGGAGCAAGGTATTAACAATTTTAAGATTGATTTTTCATACCGACGAGAAGTATACATATCTCTCTCTGGTGTGGTCATGTTCAGAAGTGAATGCCAAGTAAAAGCACGAACTGTAAAACTTGGGTTTTTTTTTTTTTTCTCGTTTATAGTTGTTTATTTGTAAATTTTTATTTTTTGTCATTTATTAGCAAACTTTATTTTACGGGCAATGTCCATTCGTTTTCGATGGAAAGGCTAAGATAGGCACCGAAATACCACTTAAGGTGAAACCTGAAGTTTAGGCCCAAGATTAACAAAATAAATTCCTATGTTTAAACAATCATTACTCATAATTATCTGTATCACCCCTTTTATGGTTACGTATCGTAGATTTACTCTATGATCTAAGTGGATCAAAATTTTGCATGCAGGAGACCGGCATCCACCTTTAAGCTTTTGGCATTCATGTGAAAGCAGCATCTTCTGACTTCTGAATAAATGCGTCATGAAGAGGAACTGCAAATACCTAGGACAAGACTCGTGTTCATGTATGTCACGTTTTCCATTGCAGTTCAGGCATCGAGATTAACTTTGGAACATAAGCTTTGGTGATGAAATTTTGACAGTCAAAGATCTCGTGCCAAAGGCCCAAGTCTTGCAAGACATATTTTAAGGTATATATGATTTTATTTTGCTCCTCCATTAATTTCATTTTTACTGAACACGACTTCATTGTCTCTCAATATTAGCCGTGCCATTTAGTCGCAACGCTGATACTGATTCTCAATCTCGCAAATATTAACCCAACTTCATTAGTTTTTTATTTTCCTTTTTGCTTTAAATAAATGATCATACAGATCAAACTCTGAAAATTATAGCATATGAAGAGGGTCAAAGTTACCAAGATACTGCTGTTATCGAAAATAATTCATAGATAGCCCACAATAATTACAATCTAACCACGTCCACGGATGCTCTTGAAACCATCTGTAAATTGCACATACCATTCTGAAACAGAATAGATGCATTACAAAGCTAACAACACCAACTTCCACCAAACCAGCACAGATTTAAAAACTTAAACACTGGGGCCAACATATATTTTCGCCAATCACATGCAAGAGTCCTTCAAATTGCAGAGATGTCCTATAACTCCAAGTTCCCCATCACATATAACAATATAATAACAACACCAATAACGTGCAGGAAACTTGAGTCATATCATGATGAAATTGAGCATAACTTCGACTTGGTGCATGAAACTTCGATGCCAAATCTTTATATCTTATCAAGCTTCTCAGCCTTGACAACTGGGTTTGCTTTAGCTATGGCATCCCTAGCAGCAGTGCGGTAATCAAATGGGCAATTATGCTTGTCTGAGTAGCGATGAACAGCACAGAAAAGGTTGCCACATCGACAATTAAACCCTGTTAAACCAACTCGCTTGTTGCAGCTGCTGCAACGTTTTGGACCATCCTTTGGCTTTGGTTCAGCACTCTCCTCTGAACCTGAAGCAAATAATGGCTGCAGAGAGACAATTTTAGGCTCTACTGAAATAACTGGGATATCAACATTAGCAGCAACAACAGGTTCATTTTCAGTGCTGCTTGATGACCCGTTCATAATATTCCCAATGGATGATGCTGCAAGCTTGGCCTGCTCCTGTTTCAGCATCATGTCTTTGTGGCATTTAGAACACATGTTCATGGTAGCTGCACTTCCAAAAAATCCACAGTTGTTAATGCACAATATAGGACCTTCAGGAGGTGCTTGGCATCCAGTCTTGTCATGGTCCATTTTTTTTTCAACTTTCCTGCACTGAAGACATTCAAATATAGAACAAGCTCAGTTCTTCACTAATTTAACAATCAAATATAGCCACTCTAGAGCAAATCCAGTATCCAAATATGATTATTATCCACTTTATACAAGGTAAGAATATGAGCAACCTTTTCGCAATGCAAAATATTGGCAAAACAAGTTTCGGAGCAGACACATGCACTTAAACAAGAAATAACAGAGAAACAGTGCCTTGCTTCTCTTTATAACACGAGTATGCAAAGGTTGCAAAAAACAGATATACCCCAAAAAATTTCAAGATGTAGTTGTAGCTGAAGAAAAAAGTGAACTATTCAAAAATAGCAAAAAACCAAGTTAAGACTTGTTAACATGTCAACTTCAGAGGTGCAAGCTGATAATATAAATCAGAAACCAAGCAGCAACATAATGAAAAATTATTTGATCAGAACCTTTCAGAATCTTGCACAAATTTGCTTCATAAACACATAAAAAGGGTAATGTAAAACAATCCCATCACACTATCCCCTGTCCATAAGTTCTTAAGCACTTAGACTCTTAAGAGATTACATATTAACATAATATGCAGGGGTAAGAGGCTTACTGCAAATCCATTTCAATTGGCTTGTACTACACACAATATGCATGATATCAATGCATGCTATCAGATTTATTCTCGATTATAAATTCAATTCACTTGTTAAGAAGTTCAGATAATTGAAGATGCTCAAGTTGTAATAAGATAATAGAGAGCAGTTCAGTGACCTTTCCCAAACTAATCCTGTTTTTAGTGTTATTTGATTTTTTTATTTTTTTTTACATTATTTATTAATTCCTCACTTCAACAAGTGCCCAACCTGAGTCAATGTATCTAACCCCAAATCTTCCAAGGTATATAATGAACAATTAAAAATAGCCACATGCATATCCATATTTATCAGAATAAATTACAAATTCCTTTGGCCAACATGGATAGTTTTTTACAAACCCCCATATTAGTCCTCTAAATAATATGTGCCCAGGCATTTTAGTCCTTAATTTTAAAAACAGTCCATTTATCCTTGACTTTACAAATCATCATTCACTGTAGTCCTTTTCAGTGCAAAACAAAAGTGAAAAAAGACTATAACGAATAAGTTTCTATAAAGTTGGGAACTAATAAATGGTTTTTAAATGTTAGGAACTAAAATGCCTAACCCATACATGGACTACTCTGACAGTTTACACAAACTTTTTCGCTCAGAACACAACTAAGTCAACTAACTATCACAACAAAATATCAAAGCTGTAATAACAAAATTCCAGGAAATTTTGAAAACATCGACGCTCATATCATTTACCTATTAACCAACTGCAAAAATCTTTGACCAAAAATCCACAAATAGAGAACAAAACAACAAACCCCAAAAGCATTCAAGACTCATATCAATAATTAGGAACAAACCGGTTCAGAAGGTAGAACCGGAACAGTAATAAACACCAAGTAGGTGCATAGACAGAATTTGAACCCCATATGATGCAGTCTCATTTCTAAAAATTTTGATAAATTGAACGTAAATTCAATAAAACATCACTATGGCGTGACATAAAAACGACCCTCTGTATCTATTCGCTGTTAATATTTGCAAATATAACTAACTGTTTCCACCTAACAATAACTCAAATTCCTTCACATGATACAACAATAAAATTAAAGCGAGACCAAATCATTTTGAACAAATCGACAGACAGACACGTCGTACAAGTGAAATTTGCATAACATAACGATAATCTAACCTGTTGGCCAGGGAAAAAATTTTACAAAAGAATCTGGGAAATGAAACCTTGTCGTGGATCTGTTAGCTCAAAATCGCATCGGAAAAAATTCCTGGATTCACCAAATGAAACAACAAAACGGAAACGATTAATTAATAGTCAATAGGAGAATGGATTAAGGATTAAATCAGAAATCGAAAATAAAATAGGTAATGAAACCCTAACCCTAATAGATTTGGGATCGAAGAGGAGAGAGAAATCGAAGCAGAGAGAGAGAGAGTAGGATGCGTCGTTTGTGTGTGTCAGTGTTTGGTATTTAAAAGGGACTTTTCCTGCTTCTCTCTCTTTCTCTCTGTACCAATGAACTCTGTTTACTGAATTGAGGCGACGTGGGAAGTTACTATTGGGCGCGCGTGTTACTCTTACATTCTCCATTTTGTCCCTTTCTCATTTACTATTAACGCTTTTGCCAGCTTCAATATTAATGAATCATTAAATGATAACTACATAAATTTTAAATGTAAAAATTTGGGCCTTCACTAACACGATCCAACACATATTCACATTTTAGGGAGTGTCTACATTATCACTACCTTAATTAATCAAGATTTGCTGGCGTGGAAGTATAGTCATAGTGAACTACACCAAGACCGTGTTCAAACCATCTTGCTATTGGTAATTAGGAAACAACAACCCCAACTTTTAAGAATAAAATTAAATAATTAATAATAATAAATTTTGAGTAATTTAAAAATATCATTATTATTATTACTTACAATGTATATATATATATATTTTAATTAATGCTTAAGAAATAGCTTCATTCACATTTTGATTACCACTGTGTATATAGATAAAAAAAAATATTTATATTTTTTGGATATTTTAAAGACTTAGAATATTGTGAATATGATTCAAGGGATGTTCTGAAGGCTAGCTAAGTACATGAACTTTCAAAGAAGTTTTTGATTGGTTACAAGCGAAAATATCAATGAATTAGGAGCGGGTCATTTTCCAATGAACAATAAGCTAAGAGCACTGTTTATTTTATTTTTTAAGTTTCCCCTTTGAAAACAAGGGAAGCCACTTGTTCAGTGATTTTTCTTATCATGGGTACATGGAATAGGAAAAACAAAACTATCAAACTTTATTCAGATCTTGTTCCTAATTAATTTTGTGTTGACTTAAAATATAATGGAAAGAAACTTTTTTCGCCGCAAGGTCAATTTATCTTTTAATTAAGCTGTGAATTTTACAATTGTAATATTATATTATTTTATTTTTTAAAGTATTTACTTTTAATTTATATATTTAACAAAAATTAATGTGATTCTAATTTTACTAAAAATTAAGAATTTATAAACGCATGATTTACTGTCAAATTCTCATTGCCCATGAAAGAAAAACTAGTCCCATAAAAAGAACCTTTATATTATTTTGGATACTCTAAATCTATAGCTCTCAAATGGAATATTTATGGATTTTAAAGATGTCAAGTGTTTTATTGCAAAAAAAATGATAACCAAGAAAGTTTAAACTACAGTGGGAAAAATAATTTTCATAATTCAATATTGGTTTTATAATGTCACTTAAAGGTTACATACTTTTAAATTACTGAAAATAATGAATCTCAAAAAGTGAAGACGAAGGAGACGGGAATAGCACAATAATTACTATAGTAAAAAGTCAATTACTGTAAACAATATATCCATTATCCTGCATATTATGTTTTACAGTTTAATTTTTATTTTTATTTGTAAATATCCAAACAGTATCAACGAGTATTTAACATCAATTAAAAGGAATAGCCATTGACGACAAGAAGTAAGGCACAGGTTGAACATTTTTAAAGGGTCAATGTTCAACAATTCAACGTACACAACTAGACATTTTTCAACTGAAACGGTGAAAATTCATTTAAAAATTCTCGAAATGGTGCAATTTGAAAAAAAAAATCTAAAATAAGATAATTTCACTATCTAACTGCAGACTAATGTTTATGTTTCATGCATCGCAGAGAAAAATGTAATGAATAAATTAAAATTTATAAAAATATTTAAATGTTTATATCTTATAATTGACTTTATAGTTTAAAAATAAAATTTTAAGTAAATATATATATATATATATATATATATATATTTGTGTGAAATATTTTTTTATATATTATATATAAACATACTGTTATAAAAATACTTTTTTATTATTATATAATATAAATATTTAATTCTATAATTTAAATTTAAATATTTAAATTTTATTACATTTCAATATAAAATTGTTTATTCTTATATCGATTATGCAATAATTGAATTATATTTAATTTAATGTAATGATATACAAAATAGTAAATATTTTTTTACTAAAAATATGAAGAATAATAAACAAATTTTATAGTTTATTTTATTTATAAAAAATTGTTACATTAATAAAATTTATAATTTACTTTATTAATAAATAAATTATTATATTAATTCTATGTGATGTAAACATTAATTTTTGTTATATATATATATATATATATATATATTATTTTTCAACATATATAATATTTTTTAAAAAATAAATATTATTTAAAATGGAAAATTTCGACCATTTAATAAAAAGATAAGTATTAGTGCTTGACTTGTATATCTGACCAATTTATTTATAAATTTGAGACTATTAAATAATTCATATAAATTAGTTTAATATATTAAATAAATTAATAATATAAAAAATCATTTTTATGCGATTAATTATTTTCATATTAAAAAATAAAATAAAAATAATATGAGTTTAAGTAATTTTTTTTATTTAGATTTCATTCATTCAAGTTACGTACGGTATGTGGTAAATGAGTCTACTATTAAATTTTTTTTTATTTATACAAAAATTTAAATCTAAAATTTATTTAAACATCATCAAACTACTTGTTACTCGAACTAATTTTTATTAATAATAATTTTTATAGTACTTTAAAAATTAATAAGATATTTTATATTATTCATATGTAAAGTAATAATATTTATCAATATTATATTAAATATGTATGGTAAATAGAAAATTTTAGTATTTTATTTGAAAAATATAAATATTTTTTAATTTTAAAGATATTAAAATAATCATAAATATCAGTTTATAAAAAAAATAAGATATATTTTGAGTTTATAAAAATGGTAACATACACTTAAATATTATATTAAAATATATTTTATTAATATTTTTATTTAAAAAATTATTTTAATTTGTAATCTAAATTATGTTATAATTTATAATGAGATATAATATCTTGAACAATTTTTTATATTTATTAAATTTTTATCTTTTTATTTAATAAATATAATTTATTAACTAAAAATATTATATATTGATAAAATATTTAATTTTTATTTCTATTAAATAAATTTTTCTACCTAAAAATTTTAAATGTTACTGCTTAAAAAATAAGACAAAATTTGAAGTAATTGATACAACTTAAACCGCAAAAGATTGAATTGGTTTGTCTTTATATTATTTTGACTTGGTTGCATTTTTTTAAATATATTTTCAATGTATAATTTTGGTCCCATAATTTTGATGTTTATATTTTTTTTTTCTAGTTTTTTAAATATATAATTTTGATTTTTAAAATTTTAATTATTCATATATAATTTTTAGATTTATAAAAGTGTGATTGTAATTTTCTTAATTTTAGTTGTTTATATTAGTCTATTTAGTTTTTTTAAATATTTAAATTAAGCAAAAAATATATACCTGTGTGGAAGAATTTTTATATATTTCATATATGAATATATTTTTTGTTTAAGTATTTGAATTACTTAGTCATGCAATTTTTGTTTTTTTAGTTTCAATTGCTTACATTTAATTTTTCTAATATTTAAAATATTTAAATTAAATCTTTAATCTTAAAATTTTATTCAATAATTAATAAAAATACTATGAGTATATAATATTTTATTGATTTATATAAAGAAATAAATAAAATTATACTAAATATTTAAATAAAAATACCGAATGTAATGTATAAAATATAATAAAATTTTAATGAATGTCTTAATTTAAAAGTTTGAAAACTAAAGAAATTAAATATAAATAGTTAAAAGTAATGGAACAAAAAGTTATATTTGAAAAACTGAAAGGATTAAATTGAATATTAAAATTAGAAGATCAAACTCTCATTTTTAAAATATCAAAATATTAAATATAAGTAATTAAATTGACTAAAATTATATAAATAGTTGAAAGATATAATGATTAAATATGAGCAATTAAAATGATAAAAATCAAAATGATACATGTAAATTAAATATATATTTTTAAACTGATTCAAATCAAATTACAGGTTTATTCCATAATTAATTTGAATTACTTATCACCTCAAATTGATTTAAATTGAACAGTAAACACTCCATATTTAACGCTATTCAAAAAGTTGTTTATAATTTATGAAATTAAAATTTAATTTATATATTGTAGTTGTATGTGTCAAGCATATCAAAAAATAAGTTATAAAAGTAAAAATTACTATTTACAAATTTACATGATTTCATTTCTGCATGGTATAAATATTTGTCATTATGATTAAAATAATTCAACAATTAATTAAACAATTTCCTTAAACAGTGTAAATTGTATTAAAAAGTTTTAAAATTTGATTTCAAAGAACATATGTAATAAAATACTTAAACATATATATGATTTAATCAATCATGACATGATCTCAATATTCACATAATTTTTTAGAAAATTATATTTTTGTATAACTTAAATATTTAATTAGATAATTTAGATATTACTACACTATTAATACGATGAAAATATTTATTTATGTAACTAAAATATAAATATTTATTAATCTTCAAATTTTTATTCCCATTAACTTTATAATATATTTAACTATTTTTATAATTTAAATATTGATACATTTTTATAAAAAAAATTACTATTTTAAAAATTAATACATTTTTTACGTTTCGTTTGGTACACTGAAAAAAAAAAAGTCATTGTGAGAGAGAACTATCTTTTGTGGTTGAGAGGAAAAATAAAAAGAAAGAAAAGCGCCTCTGAAATTCGTTGTAAAATTTATCTCACCCCTCATGTTAAGAAAACAAAAGAAATGAGTGAGTATTTTCAACTTAATATTTTTTTTACCCATTCACATAAAAAAATTATTGAGAAAAAAACAATACTACTAATTTAATATAAAATTATATTATTTTTAAGAATAAAGTTGTCTTTTTTTAATTCCTTTCTTATTTTCTTTCATATTTTATTTAAATTACTTGGAACATTGTTTTTTTAATTCCAAATTTTGTCATTATTTTCATTTTTCTTTTCAAATTGATAAAAATGTTACTTTTTTTTTTATTACATATCTCATAATATTTATTAATTTTTTTTTCAATTTCAGTATTCTCTTTTTTCAAATTATAAATATACTCCATTAATTAAATATATAATTATCTTGGTATAAAATAGACAAAGTAAATAGGAAGGGTAGTGTATGATTAACATTTATAATGAAATTGTACACCACTCAGTAAAATCCATAAAAAGTGGAAAGTAACGTTTTGCTTACAAAATGTATGCAGAATTACATGGGAACCATGATGAAAGAAAGGAACACCGCGAAAGTCAATCTCATTGATTACTGCAGGTAAAAGGCGAAGAAGGAGAAGACTGAAGCTCCAATGAAGGAACCAACAACGGGGATGGCAGCGGTTGAGCCACTGGAGGGTCCAGGAGCTGGGGCTGCGGCCTCGTCGACTGTGGCCATAGCCACGGACATGAAGGTGGCAGCCACCATGAAAGCACAAGCCATTTTCTTCATTTCCATATTTCCCTCTTCAAAGTAAATAAATGTGGTGTATGATTATGATGAACACCTTCCTTTTGGCTGCGATGTAATCCTGAGGAAGATGATGTTCAATGAAGGCTGATACATGTATCTATATATATACAGATGGATTTGCTATACATGGCTCGGTATTGGAAAATAATGTCCATTCATTTCCAGCATTTTTCGAGCTGGTTGGTTGGGTCAATGATTAATTATAGTTGTCGTGATTCCGCTGTTCCTATTTAAAGATTTGTACCAAACTCTTATATTATCAATTACACTAACAAAAATTATTTTGATTATACCCCATATTAAATAGAGGGAACCTTACCTAAAGATTTAATTTATCGGAGCCAGCCGAAATTAGCTCAACAAAGAGATATAAGTATATTCCCATTTTTCTTCCAATAATTACCATTTCTGTTGAAGTATACTCATGTATTTTTCATACCACTTTTACGCATTTCCACAAAGTATCAGATGATATTGAAGCTACGCTTATATTTTCAGACCCAATTAGAGTTATTTTTATTTTTTTTAAAAATAGATAATTTTGTAAATAAAATATCAAAATAGATAGCTTCAACAGTAGAATTAAAAAAATATATAAAAAGTCACACACTGAAATGTAACACGTATGATATTTGTTATTTATTTTTTAATTTTGATATAAAAGTGACACGTGTTATATATATATATATATATATATATATATATATATATCTTACCTTTTTTTTTCAATTTTACAAAATTATTTGTTTTGATGTTTGGTTTATAAAATTGTATATTTTAAAAATTTGGTTTAGAATCAACCCTAGTTCCTATATTTTCACCTAACATATAATTGGTTTACAATCTGTATTAAGATCTGTCGTCTCTTTTGCTGGTTAATTTCATTCTAGGTTTGAAACATTAGCCACCCTGGCCATGGACAGTGCCCAACCTTTAAGGCTTGCTCGTAATTTAAATTTGGGAAATTATAGAGGACTATACCGCTGGATCTTGCTGACACATGTCCGCATAGCCGTTGGATTCTTCACCAAAAATAAAGCAAGCATAGCCGTTTGAAGCCTGCTGCATGAAGGGACCACAACATGACCTGTCTGACTAGTGTGTGGGCGGGTCCTACGTTACACCAACCACAAATGATTCGGTAGAGAGACGTTGTCGTCTAAACTCAAATTAATTTGACTTAAAATATTAGTGATTCAATTTACAGTAATCCCAAGAGGACCCTATAAATTAGCGAGTATTGTTAATCCTCAACAACGCAAGATATAGATAGCAAAGCAATCTACATTTATTCACTCGCCCACCACCACCAATCTAAGCTCAAGCTATTCAAGAATTATTCTCTGTTTCTGAGAAAATGGCATGCATTAACAAAAGCAGAGCATTGTTCTTCTTGGCGGTCTTTGTTGTGGGGCTTCTGTTTGCTGCTCAAGTCAGGGCTGAGTCCAGCGAGTTGACTCAAGCGCCAGCGCCAGCACCCATGGATGCTGGAGCTGGGTTTTTGGTGACTTGTTCTGGAGCATTTCTTTGCTCCTCGCTGCTCCTCTCTCTTCTTGCTCTTCTACGCCGTTAAATTTTCATACTGCTACAACGTGAAGGAGATGTATCTACTGCATTCAATTTATTTGATTCTGTTCTCCTTTTTGTTCATTCTAAATGGGGAGTTCATGGTTTACCTGTGAGTGCATTTATGGCCAGTGTCAGCGTTTTTCTGTTAATGCCATTATTCTTATTGTAATGTCTTATTCTTTTTCCCTAATTATCGGTTAGGGTGTGATTTAATACTTGAGCTCCTTACCGAAAAAGAGATTAATATATATATATCATTTGATTTTTTCTATCTTCTAGTCTTACATGGCGTTCTTATGAAGTGTCGAAGTGTATGAAACACATTAAGATTTTAGAATGACTTTATCGACCAGTAACGATTTCTTGATGGTGTATTGGGGGGGATAGGAAGACACGCATGGAATTTTAAACCAAAAAAGGACTACCAATGTTAATTGCTATAACAACTGGAAATGAGCATGAACCAAGCTTTTAAGTCACTAAACTGCAAAAATGCTTATTACCTTGTTAAGAGAGTCACCTTGTCAAAGATGGGAATTATTATTATTCCGATTACATCCAACAGAACAAAAGCATAGCCACTGCCATGCGGTCTTCGATCTCTTGACCAAAAGACCAGTAGTTACATCCAACAAAACAGTTTGGCACAGAAATGGGAACTAGAGTCGGACCAATAGTTGCTGACGCGTTTGTTTCTCAAGTCCGGCCGGTTAACCAGAACTTACATCGTCATGTTCAAGCCTAAAACCGGGTTTAAGATTACAAGATTTGAAATTCTGTACTCGAATGTCGGAATGCTAATTGTCACCAAAATTAATAAAAGGAAAACACTACAGCTGAACACACATGAAACAGGAAGTTAAGATATCTCTTACCATTTGAACCATAGTCAAAAAGAACTTACCATCCTTCTAATCTCAGACAACTAAATCTATTCCATGCATAACAAAGAGCAGAAAGAATTTAGCTCAAGTTCAGTGCACCAGGACGAGAGTTGGATACTAGTAAATCTACACATATAAAAAGCTAATAATCCTATTAATTGGGAAAAGTCTAAAAGAAAACTCGGGATGAAATGCAGCCACAGGTAAGCTTCGGCTTTACTTTTTCGTTGGCTTTTTCCCCCCAGCCACCATCTGGCTTCCACAAGTGGAGGAAGGGGAAGAAACTCAAGAACGAATGCTCATTTCTCACTGGAGAAGGAAAAAAAGGGAGAGAGATGAACCCGATGAAGGTCTGGAGAGTGGTTAGTAGAAGATGACTTAGCAGTCACCACAGTGGCTTGATTAGACTAACATCCATATCTAGGAAGGAAAGATACAGAAACAGGACACCACACTAACATGTGGAATGCAGCAAATTTTAAAAATTATGAGTCACCATTAAGTTACAATGTTTAAAATTTAATAATTTTAACAGAAGAACAAATCCGAAAATAAAAAAATAAAAATAAAAATATCGATGTTTCATAAGTTAGAATTAGTCGTCATATCATAACTGCCCTAAAATGCCATCATTTATCTAATCATTGTGGCATGGCATCCCACTAATATTGGTGTAAAAGCTCAAATTATTGAAACATGTAGTTTAGAAGTATCCAAACGTATCTGATAAGTATTTGACACACTGATAGAACAACCATGTTGAAGTATCAGAGGTGGTATCAGTACAATATTTTAGTAAGGTTTGTAACAACTCAAAAACCTTAGCTAGGTTAAGCTCTAAACAGATCCCAAATTTGTCAGTTGCAATAGATTAAAATCATCAAATTAAGTTCAAGGTCCCTATAACCTTGGCTTGTGTAACTCTACTCTGAATTTCTCCATTTTAAACATTATTGCAAGCCATTCGCCTTATAATACAAATCATTATCAGTTTAGAGACAAGCAAGAAGCTTGAAAGAAATTCAAACTCTAGCAGTACGTGCAGAATCAGACCTGAGACAACACAGTAACAGATGATGCTTGAAAGAACAAATCCATTACCAGTTTTAACAATGCAGGCTCAACAAGATAACCATAGCAAGGCAGAAGGAACAAGTTTAAATCCAATTTCAGCGCAAACATATTTCCTTTTTGATCATTTTACAACTTAACCAATTTGGACTGGCATGATAAAACTAAGTATTTCGAGAACAAAGTATATAAAAAAGCTACATTATCATTCTGCTAAACATTTATTAAGAAATTCATCGCACAATAATGCATTACAACAAGAAGAAAACAACTGCAGATTTTTGCCTCTTCTCATAAACAATCAAAATTTGTATCTCTATCTTCCATACCACCGTATTCATCCTAATTATTCCGAGAAAAAAATTCTCAGCCTATTGTTAAATAACTCGTATCCCTCAAAAAATCATTAAACAGTCCAAAAAATAAGATTTCAAAAATTGAGTAATACCATCCAATATCCATCTAGGGTTTGGGTCCCTCGTTCACAGCGCGAGAAGCTTCTTCAATAATCTTCTTGTTCTTCTCAATAGCTGCAGCAACTTCCTTAGGCATATACTTCTCATCGTGCTTAGCGAGAACCTCCGTAGCCGAAAAGTAACACTCTCCACTCCGAGCCTTCTCCGACACGTTCTTAGTTGACACTTCCTTTTTGATCTCCTCCGTGAACGGCTTCACGAACCCTTCCACAACCACCGAATGGCCTTCTCTGAACAAATCGGGCAACGAGCCCTGGTAACGAACAACGATGTCGGTGATCAAATCGGTGATTACGAATTCCACTTCCGGAGACGACGCCGGATACACCACGCTCCCTTCGAGGACCAAACCGCCCAATCGGAACTTCGCTTTCGTAGGATTGTTCGCGTATTTTTCGAGTGCATCGGTTGGAGTAACGTAGAACACTAATTGATCATTGAAGTTGTTCAGAACGATCACTATGAAGCCAGCGATGCAACCGAAGGTTAGGGCGTAGGTCCAGAGTCGCCGGTTCTGGAGCTGCCGGGCGCGTGCGCCGATGTCCACCGTTTTCTTCGACCGCGGCGGCTGGCGCCTCGCCGTGGAGAGTAGCCGGTGGCCACAGAGGGTGAAATGGGAATCACGGAGGATGGAAGGGGTGTGGGAGAAGGAAGAGAGGGGCGATGGGGAGGGTTTGAAGGGTGGTTGGCGGAGGGAGGAGTGGAAGAGTAATGCTGTGCGGCGTAGATGGGATCTGAATCGGAGAGCGATTCCGGTGGCCATTTGAAATTTCTCGGGAAAAGGAATGAAGAGGAAAATCGATGGTTGGGTTTAGGGTTTTGAATTAGTTTAGGCCGCCATGGCTGAAAACGGGATGCAACTTGGAAGTTTCTGGCATTTTGGGATGGGCGGATGAAAGTAACAGGAGGAAAGGGAGCCAAAAAGAACATCATTAATTGAATTATTTATATTTGTAAAATTTAAAATAACATGAACAACTAGAACATAATTTAAAATATTTTATTTAATCAAAGGATTTAAAATACAGTGTAATGATATTCATTTAGCATTTATTAATTTTAAAATTCCATATCTTTTTATAATGAATTGAAATATTTATTTTGATTTATTGTGAAGACATTTTATTTATATCATATAATAATAATAATAAAAAAAAATGTAAAACCTATATTCCTTTATCTAAATCATTGATATATATTTTTATTTAAAAAAATCCATTTTAAATTAGGTATTTTAATAATGATTTTTTCTTTATGTATAGTTAAAATTCAAAAATTGGTTTCAGGAGAATCAATAAAGACTTAAACCAATCACTTATTGATTATAAAAATATATTTTTTTATAAAGAAATATTTAGAATCAAGAGAATATAAGGTATAATTCCAGCATTTTTTAAAAGAAGAAAGAGCTCTTTTTTTTTATTATTTACCCCTTATCCTTAAATATAAAAATATAGCATTAAGAGCGTGTGTTCGCGTGTGTGGGCACCGCCTCTCACCAACTTGCTCAAGCGAAAAGTAAGGGTGGAGAAAAAACCAAGCAAACAAAAGAAAGTGCAAAGTGCAAGAGAAAAGTGATGTAGTGTTGCCCTTGCACGTTTCTAGTGTAGACCCCGTTCTGACGTAACGCGATTTTCTAAAGTTTGGACTTTAAGGGCCATTCAATATCGTAAGCCTAAAAAACTCCAGGCCCAGAAAACGTGGGCCTTGATAGCCTTTAGTTATAACGTGGGTCGAATCTAAGTATTGAAAAAATTAAAAAACTTGTCAAATTTGACATAAACAGTTAGTAGAGAGGAGACTGGATGGTGTTACTATGGTGCGTGTAAAGAAGAAAGGTGTGGGTGGAGGGAAAGAAAGTACTTTCCGTGGACCAATGACGCAATTCATCTCTTTCTTAATTAGTTGTTGTTCCTTCCACTGTGGAATACTCTAACTCTCTCTCTCTCCCTCACCCCTTCCCTTTCCCTCCACCCAGTTCTTCAGTTTAAAATTAAAATAATAAGTCGATAATATTAATAACCGTGTATATATATATATATGGTTCCCGATGGAGTCCACGTATAGTTGCACTTCTTCCCCCTTCCCACGTTTAGTTTCAAATTTGGTTATAAAAAGTAAACACCATCTTCGTTATCCTCGTAGTGATGGATTCTCAGGTCATGCTTGGTATTGCTCTTTCATCCATCGGAGGTTTCAGCACTTCCATTGGTACGTCCTTTCGTTAACTTTCATTCCCTCACATCAATTCATAATTCTACATCATACTACATTTTCTGTTTCCTCTTTGCTAATTAACTTCTTATGTTCCCTCGCACTTTCTGTTCCTATCCTGCCAATCTTCATGTATTTGCAACAGCCATTACTTTATATATTAGCAAATGTTCTCAAGTTTAAAGTTTTCGTTATAAACCAATTTTTATTGTGATTTTTTATTCTTTAAATATTTTCCTCTTTAAACAAACAGGTTAATATTTGCTTATTAACTTCTATATTGGCTGTTGACAATGTGAAAAGATATTGATGTTTTTGTTTATTCCCCAAGATCATTGTTATTATCAGTAAGAACTTAATCCTTAATAAAAAATTTAAATAAACATCCAGTTATTGGCTAAAATAGGTGGCACAATTATACGTGTTAGTTTGATGCAACACTCTTTTGTTTGCTATATTTATTATTATATCAATTTCTATTTATTTTGATCAAAAAGGAAAACTATTTATATATCTGTTTATATAACAGTATAAATAAAAAATTTAAGTGTAATAAATACCATATCGAATTTCTATTAATTTCTCAATGTGGAACAGGTGCACTTTTTGTAATCATTAGTCAAGCTCCTAGTTTGAAGATGCTTGGGCTGTTACAGGTGGATTTTGTCGTTCCGACCCCAACATTCAATTTTATCTGTTTTGAGATCCCATATTTTTATTTTCAATCTTTTCTTACCTCCTCTCACAAAAGCATTAAATTTATATAGATATCATAAATATAGTTCGAGATGTTTTTTTTAGGTAGAATAAGAGTTTCTTTTAATAAAACTCAACATTAAAAATAAGTACATCAGCGTTAAAAGTCAATATAAATTATTGAAATAAAACCTTAATTTTTATTTAAAAACAACGTGAACGATATAGGCTAGGTTTTATCCTTTGTAAAAATGTGACATTACAACTATATTCCTTGACTTGAGCGATAAAGCATGCTTTATTAACGTGTTTTCTTCCACCAAGGGTTTTGCCGCTGGTTTGATGCTGAGCATATCATTCTTTGATCTGGCTCATAATGCATTGAACTCACTTGGCTTCCTCAGAGGCAACCTTTGGGTACGCTGTGCTCTATACTTTTCATCATAATTCGAGCAATCTACAATATACTCTCATGTTTGTTCTGACCGTAAAATTTTATCTTCCTTTTCGTTTAGTTTTTCGCTGGTGTCATATTCTTTGCTGTTGTTGCCAATTTTATACCAGAACCAACCGTTGCTCCTCCCACTTCAGATGACAAGAGTACCAAGGTTTTACTGAACTTTTTCCTTGCCAAATTATTGCACTGCTTTCTCTGTTTTTGTGCATTTTCAAAATAGCATGATAGGATTTGTTCAAAAAAGAGTTTTTATCAATTCTAGTTAGCAGGACCTACAAGTTTACAACTGATTAAAGTGATCCTTGTTTGATAAAGATTGTGTCTTTTTCTCTCCAATATGACTATATATGTTATTTATCAACATGATAGAATCTAAATTCTTATTTGCTACCTAGATACAAATTCTAATAATATGATAGCATGCTTGGAAATAGAAAGTTGAGAAAGAAGGAAATAAGAGCATTATGAAAAAACGTCGCCGTCAAGTTTTATTCAGTGGAATTATTACAGCCATAGGTATGACTTTATGGCCACTTTTCATTACAAAGTGGATGAAAATTAGACACTTGTTTCTCGCTCATCTATTTTTCCCTTTTTTTTTCAGTATTTTCTAAGTTTGATTTTAAAAATTTCATTTTGGTGTTATCCCAGGTATAAGTTTGCATAATTTTCCGGAAGGAATGGCAGTATACCTTGGATCCATGAAGGTACCTTCTTCTGTCAAAAATTTTAGGTGGTAGTAGTAATATGTAGAATTTTTAAAGGAGAAGTTAGTTATATCTATATTGACAATGTCATGCATATTTATGCGCAACTTCTGTCATTAATTAGTAAAGTCCTCCTTAAATACTGTAACTAAAATGCTTGTTAATGTTAATGTCTCTTCAATTTGACGATTGTATCATGCTTCTTTTGATAGGGCCTTCGTGTTGGTCTTAACCTTGCACTGGCCATTGCTCTGCACAATATCCCGGAGGTATAAATTTTCGTCATGTGACAGAAACGGTTTGGATTTTATGCTATAATTTTATTTGGTATAGTTTAGCAATTAGAGAAAACCATATCTTCTTATAAAATTTGATGCCACCCCAAAGTATATTTTTAGTTTAGTTTTGTTTGTTTTCATTGTAATTTTTTTGTTTGACATCAATAATTGTAACAATCTTCTGCTTGCTAGGGGGTTGCCGTGGCGCTTCCCGTTTATTTTGCGACACAGAGGTAAGAACCTTCATGGGCTTTCGTTGCTTTAATTACCTTTTTGTTGTCCTTACTACTTACAAAAGACTTAGTGGATTTTATATATTTTAGTGTAAAAAGTTTCTTGTTAATTGCTATGAGTATGAAAAGTGAACTCATCAAGGTTCTGTATGAATTGAACGGACTGATGGTGGGAAAGAAAATTAATTTATGCTAATAGATTTTACATATTACCTTAAAAAGATAGTGAGTAAGTGGCCAAATGAGTTAATTTATTATTTTTACGTATTTTTTTCTCACTTTCACTTTTCTCCACCTAGGGGTGGAATTTTTTCTGTACCCAACTTGATTTTTTTTTTCTATATTTTCTTTCTTGATCAAGAAATTAAAAAAGTCATTTTCATTCTTAACTTAATCATCTATTTCGTTTTCAGTGCAACCAAACGTAGAGGGACGGGCCATAGTACTACTATAGATTTCTTTTTATTGTTTTTTTTTTTTTTAGCCGAAAATTAGAGTAACCAAAAACTCTGGTAAGAAATTTGAGCCTGCTTTTGCGTTTTTGCATACTGATGCAGTACATAGATGGTTTTGATATTATTTGTACAGCGTGTGCATTAAAAATTTGACAGACTTGATGTCATTTTTAATAAAAAATTATCATCTGGAATTATGTATTAATATTAAATCTATGGTTAGTGTTGTAACTGTTGTGCTGCTCATATTACACGAGTTATGGCAATAATTACAAATTTGAATTATAACCTTTTTTTTTTCATTTCTGAATTTGTCGCAGTAAATGGGAGGCATTCAAATTGGCATCACTTTCTGGCTTTGCTGAGCCCCTGGGTGTTATAATTGTAGGTATATCATCTGCTATTGTCTTCCCACCATATTAGTCTGATTTTCTTTCCAAAGAATAAGAAAACATGAATTATAAGTAACTTGGTATGTTATTATTAACAATGATGAAGCGTAATATTCATAAGGACATGCTTAAGGTCAGGATGCATTGGACCCCTTTCTCACAATTTGAGAGTTGATTTTTATGCTAGTAGCGATACATTTTTTTAACACTCCTATTTTGGATACTGCAATGGTTTCTTCCCTCTATGTAGCCTGTTTATTCCCTAGCAACCTAAGTCCTGAGATTCTTGAAGGTTTCCTTGGATCAGGTTAGCACTAATACACTTCCCAAAAGTCATAATTTGTTTTGGATAAAACTCAAGTGCATTATCGTAAGCGTTTCTTATGCTATTTTCAATATTAATTTGAGAATAGCACTAAAAACACTTACTGCACTTTAGTTTTTTCCTTTGTTTTTGGGCACTTTGTTATGTGTATTGACGTGTGGTTCTAT